TACAGCCAGTAGAACACTTTGCAGAAAGCATTAGTAGAGGCAGTGCTGTTAAATGTAGCAGGTTACATGCAAAATAAATGTTTTGTTTTTTGTTTTTTTATTTTACAATAGGTGAACAATTCTGCATTTGAGGATGATTTCACATGCTCAAATATCAGTCCCACTGCAAGGGTTAATTTTTAAAATGTTCCTACCTCTTTAAAGCTTTGTGCAGTTGTTTTATAAAGTTTTGATCTTGTTTCAACATGTGACCCATTTACTTTGATTCAGTACCCAAAAATATCAGATTACAGTTGAACACGTTATACCTGCTAACAATATAGACAAATCTATCCAAATATCTATAGTTTATGTTATGTTTGTTCTCAGCAGTGTAGCATTGAAATGTATTTGTCATTCACAGTTTTGCCGAAAGTAAATGTCAGCGTGATAGAACTCATGGTTCTGGAAGGCAACAGTGCGACAGTGTATTGTGAAGCCACTGGGCTCCCTGACCCTAATGTCTCTTGGGACATATCCCAGATTAAGTCAAATACCCTGGTAAGCGTTTTTGCGTGTACCGTCACGCTCATTGCCTTATTTTTCTGAACTGTATAAGAATTCACAGTGTGATTTTTGTTTTCAGATAGAAATGTCAAAACATACTGCTTTCCTCACTTTGAAGAATGTGACATCACTGGACAATACAAAAACCCTGGTTTGTTCAGCAGAAAATATTGTGGGAGAGGACCAAGTTGTTGTTGAGCTCAATGTACACTGTAAGTACTACAAAATATTTTTCTTAGATGTAATTATTAGATATATCATTGTTCTTCACTATGCATGGTGCATATATGGCCTACACATTTAGTACTTCAGGCTTCAGACACATTTAGTACTTAGTACTTCAGGCACTGCCTACAAGGAGTGCTGTAATGGGGTCTTGTGGAGGGGGAATTGTATATGAGGGCTATTGTTCCCAAACCACATTGGCTGTATTGCCGTTGGTACTGGTAGATCGGTAATGGATGTGATATCTTTGATTTATATCTAAAGAAAATATTTTAGGACTTAAAATGTATAAGGCCCAGGGTTGTAAATTTAATTATATGCATTATTTCAAGTGGCTGTACAAAACTAATTTGCTTATTTGTTAGTGAACTGAACAACCACAAACAAAGATTATTCAGTTAACAACTACATATGAATGGAAGTCTGCTCTTATCAACTCTTTGTAGGCTGTGAGCATGGCACTTATTTTTTAGTGTGAACATTCTAACTATTGTAAAATAAATTCCCCAACTATATCCAAAAAAATTGGTTTAGACACACTTTAAAGCTGAACTCCAGGATAAGCAAATATTGGCTAAATTCAAAAGGCATGTGTGTTCTTACATGAATTTTGGGGTGCTTTGTGCATTTCCTCCTGATCTGTGCAGTAATCCAGTATGAACATTTGCTTTATAGGGGAGATTCCTATAAATAAACACCAGTTGCTTCCTCCCATTAGTTTTCTGCAAGACGCCTGTAGTGGGTGGAGCTATTGGATCCCTCTCATAGCTCTGCTCTCTGCACAGTCTATATGCAGCTTTTTTATCAGCAACAACAACAAAAAAAACAATTCATACCTTTGACTAGAAAACCAAATGTTTATTAGATGGGCAATAATAGGTCTTAAGCAAAAGTTTGGGTATCTTTGATCAAATCACAAGCTTTATTGATTTTTTTTTATTGCAAAGAACTCAATGAACCTGCTTCAAAAAATTAAGTTAAAGCCCAACTCCCACCCTCTATCTTATCCTGCCAGATGTCTTGTTTTTCTCACCTGGTAAGGAAATGAATACACACCTTAGTTCCCCCCTGGCATTTTTTCTGCTGGAGAGGACTGCTAATCCAGTGCTGAACAGTTCACTTGACTCACCTCTGGCCGACATCAGTAGTGTTTTAGATCCTGAGTGGAACCCTCCAGTAAACAGCCAATGTAAATTGTCCATGTCATGCAGGCAGTGACATGGACACCTGGAAGAGGGAACCCCAGCAAGTAGTAAACAAAGAGGAGACAGGACAAGAAGACACACACTCTCCTCTAAATTCAGAGAAGTTCTACTCCTTTCTGTTCCTTTAATACCCTGTCATCAAAATGTGGGTGGAAACCTCTCTAGTGTGGACTAAATATTAGTAAAAACTTCATGTAGGCTTACAGGTTATATTCTTAGCCTTAGCAAAAAATTACCCTTGCAGTGGTGCCCTCCCCCCTGCACTACAAAGGTTAAATGCTCGTTAAGTCTAGGGGTTCCTACAAGCTACCACCACACTGTGCAACCATTCCCCAGAGGCTGCTTTCCTTCGCTGCTCTGCCAGTCGCAGGCTTTCCAACATCACATATTGGCGCAGGATTGGCAGTCCTGCATTGTCCATGAGAACAGTGAGTGCCTCCTCCTAGACTGTGTGAGAAATAAGGAGAGTGCTCTCTGCCAGGGGAGGAAGGAATAAGATAATTAAATATTTCATCCTATTCCTGTACCCCTAATCGTAAACCAGCATTTAACTATTGCAGTGTGGAAGGGGGAGGGGCGCGCTATGAGACTGACATGAGACTGCACCACTTAGTTACAAAATAAATATGGCTTATTTAAAGCCAAACTCCAGGAAAAATTATAATTTTGGTGTGTAAATTATGATTTTTACCAGAGTTTGCATGCAACATAATAGTTTGTATTGAGTAGATTAGGTTGGTGCACCATTACTCCTGCAAAGTATAACCCTTCCTCCAGGGCCCTTGTGGTGGTATTGCTTTGCGTACAGGTACAGACTGCAAACCATGGAGATTTTTCTTAATGACATACTTGATATTGCAAACCGTAACTTCTCCTGCTTGGTAGGAATCAATTATCCTTATTTTCCGGTTCTCAATTAGCTGCTTAGAGAAGCCCATAACCATTTGGGTGTAAGCATAATACTTAGAGGCTGATTAATTAGAACTAGGGAACATAAAATGAGCACTTAATTTCTGTTGTCAATAGCAACCAATCAGGTTTCCTATGTCATTTTAAAGAACATTCAAATAGGAATACTGATTGGTTGCAATGGGCAACAACTCCATGTTTGTGCTAGTTTCCTTTTTTTACACATTTTCTACTGTTTTAATGGATCAGCCCCTAAAACATCTCCAAGAGTCAGATCATTTATTCAATTCTGGAACTGTTTATACTTAACTTAGATTGAGGCCTTATAAGGCCTTACAAGCACCTTGCAAAAAATAATATCCAGTGGATTGATTCGACTACAACCTGAGCTTTTGCACATAAATAGCAGCAAACAAATCTGCAAAAAACAGGTCATATTTAAAGTACATCTGTAGTAATGTTTCCAAAAAGAAAATCACACCAATAGTGTGAAGCAGGAATACTGTGGTGCCTGCACCTTCCTCAAAAGTGCTTCTTGCCCTCTCAACCCACCACACTTCAGGTATACTTCAGGTATAGGACATACATGTACATTTCTCCCTGATGCCACAACACAGTGATTGGTGTCTGATTGGCCTATCACCAGTTTCACATAATTTCACATGGGGAAAAGAGTAGGGTATTCCTAAATCTATGAAATACTGTCTTTTAGAAAGTCAGTATCTGCATAGGATTTTTGGGGGTGCCAGAGCAGTGGTCCAGGGGTGCAAGCAACATTATTAGTGTAGAAACAGGCAGCTTAGCATGTCTAATATACACTGTTAGTGTTTGAAAATGTTTACTTCAGGTTTGTTCCTTGTAAAGACCATATTATTTTCCCTTCACTAAAACAATCAACAAACCAGTCATTTTACCAAGGGTACTTAACCTTTTGCTTAAAACTCTACTTAAAACTGTTTTTTTTTCCATTGCTTTTCTAATCTGTACTGACTTGTTTGTGTGCACCAATGTATGAGCTCCCCACCACCTTGTTGTTGGCCATCAGGTCCTTCGCCATAGTTACAAAGCACATTCAGTGCCCTTACTTTGGCAAAATCAGATCCTTTTAGCCACAGGTTTAGTAACAACTGGGGTTGATCTAAAATAATACATATATTAGTATTCTTATTTACCTGCTCCTTGGGAGGTTTACTTCTCCAATTGAGCAGAGTGAATTCCAGAAAATGGTTGTTGCCTAGTTTTACCTGCTCCTTTTAAATATTCTCCCGTGACTTCAAATGGGGCCTGCCATCAACAGATGTGATGCGAATTCCAGGCCAAGGCCACACCTTTCTATATTGTGTCTGTTTTGTGGAGGCTTATACATTAAACATTAAAAAAAAGTAATCCTAACCAGAATGAACTTTTAAGACATTGGAAAATGGACCACCCTTTAAGTTCCTACCATGACCACAGGCACTGCACCCGAGTTTGTCTCCACTTTCAGTCCACTGTACTAAGGGAGCAAAATACCACACACCGAAATCAGCTTAAAATTAATTTATTCACTGCAATGGTCCATGTTAATCCCCACTTGGGAGGCTGGGCTGTTGAAATTAGATAATATTCACTCCCTTCAAATAGGTTACCCTGAAAGTTCTGCTTTGGGTTCCAGGACTGGAAAGTAATAGAGGTATACACTATTTTCACCTTTTTGATGTAATTTAACTTGGCAATAATTTGGTTCCAGAACTCATGCTTATGAATAGCCAGTAGTAATTTTCCTGTTTCAACATGCATGTTCATTTCTGGTCTCTTTCATTTTAGTTCCACCAAACATCACCCTAATAGACTATCCAACTTTGGACCATCACTGGTGTATCCCTTTCAGTGTAAGGGGTAACCCAGTTCCGAAGTTGCAGTGGTTTTACGAAGGAATCGTTCTAAGCGATACAGATTTTATTTGGAGTAAAATTCATCAATCAAGCAACAACATGAGTGAACATCATGGTTGCCTACAGCTAGACAGCCCAACACACTTGAACAATGGCTTTTATACATTACAAGCAGAAAATCAATATGGAAAAGATGAGCGCACAATTATGGCTCAGTTTATGAGTGACCCTGATATTGGTAAGTAAATAAATGTAAATGTTTACTCATACTTAAACCTTGTTTGTCTTTATGGCTGACTCTCAAAGTTTCCATATTTTTATATGACCTTACAAAATTAGCACATGTTAGTGCAGCAAACATATGTATGCACTATACATTAACAGCTGTCTCTTAAAAGCTTATCGAGAAAGATAAAGAGCTATGTGCAATCTGGAGTAACCTATAGCAACCACCTACCCATCTTTGAAAAGCATCCTCCTTGCCAAGGTTAACTTTAGACTAGACACCAACTCACACACCCTTATCTTGATTTACATGAGTATTGTCTACTGTAAAAAATAATAGCATAAATACATTATAACCTTATAGGGTAATGGTAGACATGGTTTCACTCTTCCTCTTTCATTCTATCAGTGTACTATCCTATCACCTTCCAAGTAGGGCACAGTCTTTGTTTACTTAATCTTAAAGCAATCCTGTCGCCTTGTTGACAAAAATATAACATGTCAAGAATGTAAAAGAAGCTTATTAATTCGTACCTCTCTGGCAGGTTGCTGGTCAAATGTTTCTTCCTTAAAAAGATACCAGCGCCACTTCTATTTAATACTTCAGGGTGTGTCTGTTAGCATTTCCCCTGCTGCATGCTGTGTTTTTTTCTGCTGGCCTCTTTGCCACTACAGAATACAGTAGTGACACAGTGGTAAGTGGGGAAACCACAGCAGGGACATGCTCTCCCACAAACCTGGAAGTGTCAGATAGCAGTGGCACTGATATATCTTGAAGAAAACAAAGGTATGACTTGCACGGGTGACTGTTTTGTTTTGCTTCTTTTACTGGCTACCCATGTTCTTTTCATTTAGCCAAGGCAAAAAGTTTGCTTTAAAGGATGCAGCTTTTTTATTCCTAAAAAAATTGTATACCCCAATCAAATTATTATAACAGTGTACCTCTGCACCAGAAAACAATGAGGTGGAGGTAGGTAATCACTATATCCAGGCCCAGTACTTGGCTCAGCACATGCAACAAATGCCATTAAAATATTATGCAGGAAGGTTTACCAACTCTGTAAAGGATAACTAAAAAGATAAATCAAAACTACCCCTCTCTTCTTACTGATGAAAATAGTAATTTATATGTTAGAGCTTCTATGCAGACCAAAACCTTTTTTAGCTGCTTGGTATGGCACTGGTGTTCAGTCCCTTTACAGATCAAGCCGTATGCTTGTTTCCTGCCAAACAGAAAATAATGGCTAGCCTGTACTGAGATTGGCACATTCATGCTGTCAAGACATTTTTCTCTATGGTCAGATGCGATGCCTGCTATCTGGCTGGAATTCGGTCTAGGAAAGGACTGAATGATGCAGAGTAGATTGTCTCTTTTTAATCACTTCACGTTTTATCCTTTAAAAAATAAGTCTTACTGACTTGACCTTAGTAAGCTGAAATATGATTGGTTGCTGTGGATTAATGCAGTTTATATGTCTTTATTGTTATTTGTATTACTTTAGTATATAAGCCCATAGGTTTGTAAACATAATTAGCTAATATGAGTAAAAAGAACCAGTTTTCTTTTTTATTCTTTTGGATCTTTTTATAGATAGATAGATAGATAGATGGTAGAAAGAAAATTTTAATCTATTGTCCTTCAAAGACCTGGATTCTTTTGCTCTAGATCACCTTGTAGAGTTTTTGCCCCACACCAAGTTTTATTTGTAGATTGGGTACAGCATCCTAAACAATGAATGTCTTAACTCCGCTGCAGTGTTTTTTGGACATTTTATGAAGGTTATTTTGGTGACAGCATACTGAGTGCTCAATCTACTTATAGTGTTCTGCATTTATTTCCCTTTCCTTTGGAAAGTTCCACATTTTGTAGTCTTACAATCTAAAATTAAAACTGGGATTTTATATTGTATGCACAAAATAGGCCACTGATGTTACAAAAAAACTGAAAAGCATTGATTGCATAGGTATTTATAAAAATCCTTTAAATAAGCTTTGATACAATCAGTTCCCTTCAGAGAACATGTGTCCAGTGGAGTCTAGTTGGGTGCAATGAAAGTTTCATATGATCTCAAAATATTTTAACTTATTTTTGGAAAGCCCCACAGATTGTTAGAGCACATATCTAAACAAACAGCATCATTAAGGACAGGAAGCTATCTAAACAAATCCAGGATAACAGTCTGGTCCAGACTCAGGGTTTTATATCACAGTTGTTATAAAATATCTCAAGCTTTGAACATCTACCGGAGTGCTGGTAAATCCATTATTAATAAAAGGAAAGAAAAGGGTGATGGTAAAATGTAGTTGCCAGATATGGAGAAAATAAGAGAAAGGACCAGGAGACCACAGATCATTCTAAAGGAGCTACAGAAATCCACCCAATGAGATGGAAAGTTCTATACATGAGACATCTATTCCCAAGAAATTCCACAAAACGACACTTTATAGCGGTTATTTCAGTGGTGACAAGAAAAAAGCCATTGCTAAAAAAAAAAAAACATATCAAATCTAATTTGGAGTTTGCCAAAAGGCATCTGGGAGACACAGCAAACAAATTCTCAGGTTCCCAGGCCTGATGAAGACCAGAATTTAATTTTCTCGCCTCAGCATAGAATGTAGTGGGTAATGGAAAGTCAAAACTGCTTGTTGTTCTGAGGACACCATCCCCACAGTAAATCGTATTGCTAGTGTCATATTGAGGGTAAATGCCTCATTGCATTTATACTATACATAATTACATATTGATTTTAGATCCTCACTTTACTTATAAATGCAATGCATGAAGGTGAGGGATCAAGTGAAAATACTGAAAGAAATACATTGGATTTTTTAAATTATCTCTATGTTTAGCTTTTTTAAATTTATGAGATGATTTACATTGTTGGGACTCCACATAAATGTTTTGTGATTTTTTGGGGACTTGTTACTCATGGTTAAGGTTTCATGCATAGTATTAGTGGTTACAAGTACCTAGTGCCAAAAATAATATATTTAACGGAGACATTTGAGCCTAATGCGTATTGCAGCCGTCAATTACCTAGAAAAGTGAACAAAGCCTTTAAGCTAAGTACCTTCATATCTTAGTATGACTTAGTCTGCCTGTCCTTAAACCATGTATTTTCTATCTTATATTTTATAAGACTACAAAATGTGGAAAACTATTTGTTCATCACTCTACCCCTGGTGCCCCACAGGCAGTGTCTTCAGAAGCAGAGTGCGGAGGGTATGACAGGGGCAATATGTGAAGGACAGGGGTGCAGAGGGTATGAAAGCAGGCAGTATGCACAGAAGAGGAGTGTGGTAGGTATGTAGGTGGGCAGTAATTTCAGGAGATGAATGCTGAGTGTGTGATGGTATGAGGCAGGTATAACAGCAGGCCATATATATATATTTTTTTTTTTACTCTGGTGACAGGTACTTTTGTATAGAAAGATCAATGGTCTGTTAGACTCCTGATACCTCCCGTGTGTCCACTAAATATAGACTGCAGACACAGAGTCTCACAGCTGGCTCAGGGCACTGGAACAGTACAGCTACGAACCCAAAAGTGCTAAGTGCTGAGCACTTGTGTATTCAGTTTGTGCAGAGCAGATTGGTAAATTGGAGTTTACCCACTCTACATCCTGACAACTGTGCTGAGTTTAGAAGCTCACTGTAGGACCGCTGTTTTTATGACAGCTCCGACCTATACATTAAACATTACATTACACCCGAGCTGCTCTCGCTGTATAATGTGCAGGACTAAGCTGTCAGTCTGACAGCTTTCCTGCAATGTGTTTGCAGATGTTCCAGTGTGGGGAAGGGGGGTGAAGTGGCCAGAATTGACAAAGGTGGGTGGAGAGATTTAGTCAGCAGAGCAAACAGAGCAGGGAGTGCTGTGGAGTTCACAGAGTGGGCACAGGTTGGGGGTTGTAGTGGTTAGAGCGGACACAGGAGTCGTTAGAGAGAAAGGGGAAACACAATACCAAGGGCTAAAGCCCTTGTAAAAAGTGCACCTGTGTTTCTGGTAAGTGGCTGTGTTTGTGCCCACTTTCCATTTAATAATATAAATTAAGATATAAGATAGGAAGGAAGGAATGTTAGGATAGTAAGGGTAGGATTGTGAATGAATTAGTCATGTACAAGAGTGCCACAAGTAGAAAGCGCACTAGTAAAATGATAATTGTAATATTATTGGTTGTTGGGGCACCACCTCTATTAGAATTTTATCATTTTAGCAAGATTTTATTAATGTGTATCGCATTAGCTGTTTTTTGCTAAACTGTATATTAAAACTAAACTATCCAACTGAATGCATATATTATATATAAAATATGTAAGCAGTACATGAGTTTCATATATATTGCAGCTCATTATTTGCTAGATGTCCTTGATTGACACAACTGGGCTATTCAGTCAGACAATAATGAGCAATGACCATGTGCAATTCAATAACCAAGAGAAGCTAATCAGAAATCATTGTTTGACTATACTGACTTCAGTAAACTGAATCCTGATTGGCTGCAACGGGCTATTCCTCTTTGCACTACTTTCCTGGATATTGCTACATTTTTGTATTATTTCAGTTACAGATTATTAACCTAATTTACTAATTTTTCATCATTTTTTTAATTGAGTAACATGAGAGCTTTTTATGCCAATTATGGTATGCTAAGAGTGTATTCTCTGAGAAAACATTATATATGTCTGCATGACAAGAATGGAGCATTTTAACTTGATACCCTTACTGAGATCATGGAGTGATTATTAGATCAGTTAGGAATTTGCATGTTGTAATTTTCAATTCATAAATGTACTCTCATGTAACTCAGTCCTTGACATCCAAATTGAAATCTCTTGATTAGTGCCTCTCTTGATTTCTCATATATGCTATAATTAATGTACACTTAGCAGTACATTCTATCCCAACCAACTTTAATAGCTCTTCCCCACATGGTACTTTGTCTTGCTCCAGCTCCTGTCATTAGTAAATTACTCTCACTATATCAGCCTAACTTCCTCGATTAAGTCTTTATTTCTCCTTCTCATTACAATTGTTGCATTCCAAGTCCAACAGAAGATTTAAAGTACATGGCATGTCATGGCAAAAATAAAAAAAATATATCTATACGCAGTACATTTCTGCAATACATGCACATTTTCTCATGTCTTATCACCCCACAAGTACAGAAAAATACCAATTGATATGCCAGAAATACACTCAGCATCTAATTGCTATTGTGGGTTGGCAACACACAGCATTTTCGTGGTATCAGCCCTGCCCAGTTTTCTCTTGCCAAACTACTCAGACCCACATACTCTCCTATCTCCACAACTTAAAGGCTAATCATGCTGTAGTCCCATGATAAGAACTGGAAGGGATAATTGCTCTCCTTGAGATAACACAGGAAGTGGGCATTGGACAATGGACAGTTGGGAATTTCTGAGATGGTCAACAGGTATTTTATTGCGCTTATTTAACAGATAGATATTTCTAATGGTGTATTAAACAGAACGAAAAAAATATTTGACGTAAAAACATCACCTGTATGGGCCTAAACAGACATACATGCTGATGTCACAACACGTATTAATACAAGCATAAATCTGTATGATTATTTAATGAGAACACATGTGCTCAAGCTCTCCGATGCATTGTTTGACTTTTTATGCACTGTGAAAGTGATACAATTTCCATATTTTTTTTTTTAAATGTACAGCTTTGATGAGGGGATTACAATGTCTGCCGCAGATGAGCTCCTTCTGAAACTGCTAATTGCCAGGCTGCTACACTAACCCTCTTGCTTCATTACTTTCTGTATCAACCAGGAACATGTATGCTGATCAGATCAGAGATTGGAGAAGTGTCAGAAGTATTTACATGGGCAGAACACATGTTGATGTCTGTCAGTACCACTTTTTCACTTGATCAGTTTGTGCATTTTTTTTATTGGTGGAACAATAAGGAGGTAGTTTGCCTACTCTTTTATTGGTCAGCCCTAGTTGTATTGAAACAAAGTGGGCATATTCTCTTCCAGCCTCTGTGCCCCCAGCTTCGAGAGCAATGTCTGGCTATGATGTCTAATAATTTGATATATTTTTTTTAGAATGAGTATGAAATACTTTTTCTTAAGTGGAGTCTGACTTGTGTTAGGTTTAAGAAGGTCAGATGCCTTACCTTGTTAGTGTGAACTATGGCTAGCCAGTGGACCGGAAGGAAGGTGACCAACGACAGTTTGCCTTGAGTGGCAGGAAGTATAAAGCTGAGTATTTATCCGTACTTTTGTTTTAGGTCAGTAAGTGAAATTGGTTGATTTACTTGGGGAGCGCTCAAGTAGTTATGCTGTTAATGTTCTAGTAAATATGCTAATGTTGTGTTTACTTTATATACACAAACACGTGCAAATAAAATTAAGAAGGATTGTTCCTTCCACATGAAACAGTTTCCATTTAGTTTGCAAAGTTAATTTTTGACTTTAGTAAATCAGGACTGAAACTAGTGAATCAACATGGCAGCCTATCACTTTCAGAAGGAGTGGTCAGCAATAGCACCTTCCGTTCTTGTCTTTTGACAGGTTTACTTTCAAGGCGCTACAAAATGCAGCTAGCAACCAGATTTTAGTTTAGTATGGTGATCCCAGTGAAAGACAATTTCTTCTTGTTGCTGTTTGCGTAACTAAATAAAAGCAAACAATTAGAAACCTGTTTGTTCTGTGTTATTGCGTTTATGTCACTGCAACCAAATTGACTGTAGTTGTTGTGGTCGGTGTTATTGTGATGCTGCTGCTACTGCTCCATTGTTGCTTTTTATTGATTTGCCACGTACCTTTTTAAAGCAAACTAAACTGGTGTAGGTGAATTCATCTCTTTATTTTAGTCAATACTCAGGGTGTTGTGGTTTTCTATAATATATATGTGTGTGTATATATATAGAGAGAGCCAAAAACTACCTATATTTTCTTAGAGAAAATCAATGCCAGAAGAGAAGAAAAGAAAGTAGTGTAGAAAATGGCCTTGAAATAATACTTTCTTTCTGAAACAACTAAAACATGAATAATTTAATGGAATTCCAATGCTCATTAGTAATATAAACATATATTACTTGCATCATGAGTGGCCATGTGGCCACATATTCGTAGATGCTATATATTGATAAGAAATAATAAAATACAGTACAACATGAGATTATTCTCACATATGTTCTCTTTGTTCTTTTTTTTTTTTGTTTTTGTGTTTTAGGTGGCCCAATTACTGACCCTGGATTTTATGGTACATATAATGTATTATTTCTATTGTGAGCTGGGTGGGTGAGTGGGAATAAACATATAATTAACTTATTCATTTAGCTGCTAGAAAACACATCATTAGTAATGCAATAAATAGCAACAAATAGCCATATCATTTCGATATCATAATTCATCAGATATTATTTTGTGCTTTTGTTGTTGCTGTTTTGTGCTTGTGATTAGTCATGGCCCATGAAGTAGTTGTCATGGTCACTGTACATGCTATTCCCTTTGACACCCAAGCAATTTACTTTACATACTGAATTTGTATGGCTATCGGGATTTGAAATTCACTAGTGAACATTATTAGCTATAATCCTGGGATAAGTAGCCATTGCTGTGGTGATATCCAGCAGACAGTGAATGTTTTTTGGGATGGAAGATATTATAGTTAACTTTCAGAATTGTCCATTTATGGTGATCCTTAATACATTACCCCCAGATTATGCATGGGACATACTTTAGTGGATGTGTAGTATTCTTAAAGAAGAACTCCGGGGAAAAATGACTAACCCTTGCGGTGGGGCTCCCCCCGCACTGCAAGGGTTAACTGCTCATTTGTGTCTAGGTGCTAAAAAAAAAAGTAATACTCGCCTGATCATTCCAGCCGGCATGTTCTTACATAGGGGTCCATAGAGCCTCTCCCCACCCCTCTGCAGCAGTCTAATAATCCTTGTGTCATCATGCTGTATACAAGTGTATAGACGTGAGGACGCTGAGGAACATTCCATTGTGCAGAAGAGGAGGAGACACGCTTCAGTGACCAGAGAAGCAGGGAGTCGGCTTGGCAGTTCAGGTGAGTAAGGTGAGTATAACTTTTATTTTTTTAGCACCTAGACACAAACGAGCACTTAACCCTTGCAGTACGGGGGTTGCCCCACCGCAAGGGAAAGTACATTTTTCCCCAGAGTTCTTCTTTAATCTGCGTTTTGTTCCCTCACCCAAGCATGATTATTTACACAAACCACCCAGCGTAAATGGAGTAATTAAACTACCTGAACATTACCTTCAAAGAGGTATATAACCTTTGTCAATGTGTACATAAACCCCTGCCAAATGTGAACTAATTATATAGTAAATAACTCACTGGCATCCAATCCATAAACAAAAACTATTCCTATCTGTCCCCTGAGACCCAGTGTTTTCACCATTGGGTGCTGCCATATTGTTATTTGCACAACAAACATAAGGAAAAGCTAGGCTGTTAGTAACAGCCCGCCTATTAAAGACACCTTTAACCTTTCTATGACAATCATCAGGATGCATAAGCCATGCCATGAGGAAGGGAGGGAGATGGAGATGAGGACTTATCGACTTTTCACAAAAGGTTAAAAGTAGCATATTGGTGAACGTGCGTTTAAGCATACTTAGGCTACACATATTGGAAAGGGAAGGGCTGGGTTTGGAAAAGCTGGTTGAACAGATCATGAAAGTACAATTTCATTTAAATGCTTGGGAAATCGAAAAAGTTGACTTTAATAAAGAAAAAAAACCTTGTGTAAAGCTCAATATCACATAGTAACCAGGAATCACCTTTCATTTTTGTAATTCATCTATAATGATAAAAGGTGAAGTCATGATTGCTAGTGATTACTGCACTTTTCACATGGTCATTTCTCCTTTTTCTCTGTGCTAATCAGTGGCATGCATCATTTTGTGTCATACCATACATGCTTGCAATATATTAGCCTCTTTTGTCTGTCAAGCAGATTTGCTCTTGTTATTTAGCCTTTTAACATCATTGTATGTGATGTTTAGGTTACCTATCAACATTAGATTCACCTGATATAAAACTAGTGATTTAAATATGTCTAGACAGTAACTAGAGTAGTGTGCACAAAATGATTGCAAAAAGCAATAGTGATTAGTGTTCTCAATGTGTGATTTTACGAACCTTCAGGTTTCTTAGATGTCCATACAATAGTGTCAGTTGAAAATTCTGGCAAACCTGAATATAACCCATTTAGATAAAGTCTTATTACAGACTAGGTGCATCTGTGGTGTGTGTTCTTAGGCTTGTTTTTTTTTTCATTGCTGTTGGAATATCCAATATCATGCAGTTAAAAAACTATTGGCACAGTATAGGCTGTATATTTTCATATATGTTCTCATCCTGTAAAGTCACTACAGAAAGTATTTATTTTACTACTGGGAAATTTCCCTCCTGATCTTTGCCAGGGATCCAGCAATAGTTTTATCCTGAGACATCTACGTTTGGCTTGACATTGAAGTCAATTTACTTCTGTGTGCTGGAGTGCCTTTTAAACATTGCTGTCCCAAATTTCAGTTAAGTGTAATTAATATGAAACATGAAAAGGGTTTATGTGATGTTTACCATGTTTTATTAGATAAAATATTTTTAAACATATAGCATTTAATGGCTTTGTTGTACTAGTATACTGTTTTTTAATAGTTACTGTGACAGTGGTATGCTTATTGCATGGTGAAAAGGGGACTTCTGTTAATGCAGACCAGTCCCAAACTTGGCAATTCAAACAGAGCATATAAACAATTGTACAAGCAGAGGTTACTGCAGGAGGAAAACCCGATGTGACAAGGATCAGTAAATTCAAAGACATAGGCAACTGAAATAGTATCCTTTTCCTGCAAAAGTCTATTTTGGTATTGCCTCTTCCAACTTCTACATTGGTCCTTTAACATAAAGAGTAGCCTTAGTGGCCAATAGGGAGCCTTAAGAGGTGGGAGGGCAGAGACAAGGTCCCTTTTACAGCAGAAGTGTATACAATGTCAGTTGTCCATCTTTATTTATACGTATGGATCTACTTTTAAGTCCAATCCTACATAAAACAAAATTAAATTTCAGTGAAATGTTTCGATTTTTATCCACATGTGATCAAAAGATCCCATGTGCCCTAAAAGGTTTTCCTTTGTTCTCCATTCTGTTTTTACTCCAGATGGCAACAACTTTCACCTGATTGAGTCAGAAGGCAAGAGAGTACACCATGGCAATGTGTCAGTATTTATCAGTAGAGGCAGAAAATATTTATCTGGTTCATCTAGAGCAACAAGTTAAAAGCTGTGTTCATGCCATACTTATACAAACTGCATAACACATACTGTTTTCTAACTAGTATTTTCCACCAAATCTGGATTATCCATTTTTTTTGAGTGGTAATTATATACACAGGATATCCACAATATGACATGCTTGTTTTCTGGCAACAGCGAGTCCCATATTATCTTATAGGAAATCTTTTCCCCAAAGTTATTTTTTGTACTTTAAAGGACAAAAATTATAATTGCGTAAAATACAAATCTCCTAACATTCTTATATAAATCCTTTTTTAAAATGATGCCTCCCACAGAGCAACTTAGGCTGTTGATTATGATTGGGATTGACATCTGGGGTCCTGTAATAATCCACAGGAACCAACCAGTGTAGGTCAGGTGAATACTGTAGCAGAAAGCATAAAAAGTCACAAAACAAAAAAAGAGTCTCTACACCTCATGTGAAACCCGATTTATCTTTAAAAAGAAAGATCATTTTTATACAATAAAACAAAAACAGCTATTAAACTTGTTATGCAAAATATTTATAGGCAGGGACAACAAAAATTTGAATTATCTTATATTTTCTTACACAAATAAAAATTGAGAGGACCATCAATATGTGGTACCTGAAGATGGTCTATATGTCAAAATAAAATATCAAGCATTGTTAGATACAGGACTTTACTTTTTGAAAGAGAGTTACTCTCTCTTGCTGAATTGATCCACAACTTTCCAAAGGACTTTCCAAAGGTGAACAAAAGAAGGAAACAAGATAGGGAACATTTACAGTCTATACATTTTAAAGCTTTGTGCTGAGCCCTCTAACCTCAATGTCCTAGGCAGGGGCCATGACTGCCTCGTGGTAAGTAAAGTCCTGTATTATTGCTTGTTTAGGAGCCCTAGCGGCCCTTACAGTGAACCTGACATTTGACCATGCAGGTAAACTAATCACCTTTCCGTCACTCTCCTGCCTCTCAGTTTGACCTCCTGGACCAGGTGATTATGGGGAGCATTGGATCCCTTTTTTCTTCCTCCTATGTGACACCACTGGCGTTTGGTGATCTGCCTCTAAGGCAGAGGTGATTGGGTTCTGTATGGACAAAGCACAAGTTTACAATAAGGGCAGTGTCTTAATGGTATATCTGGCCATTTAAAATTTGAGGTTAAAAAAGCTGCATAGAAACAGAGGACTTGCAAAAAGTAGCCGCTGGGTGCGATTTTGATTTCTTGTGAGTGTTTTCTTAACTTCCCTTGAGCAATTACAATGACCTTTATGGTATTTAAAATGGCATGTAATTTATAGAGAGGTAGAATTCTCCTGTATTCATATTGTGCTAATGCACCTCTCACTATTGCATAGTTCTGCATTTGGTTGCTTTTTATTGCTCCCAGCTTTTTTCAGTTTTTTATTCTTTTTTTTTTTATACAATAGTTGCCTACCCCCTTTATTTTCATTTGTCAACACTGTCTCAGAGTGTGTTTGGACACTGTTGGTGTCTTGTTAGTATCTGAGTAATGTTGACCTGTCTATGTATTATGTGAACGCATATAACTGTACTCACATAAAAGAACATGGTTTTGAACTTTGCCACTATGAGGGTATTCTGAAATTACATTTGTCCAGCGCAAAAAAAAATCATAGTGGCTATTAATGTGGACTAAAAACCTTTTCTGAGATTCTAAAAAAGGAGAACTCCATTGATACAAATAACTGTTCCAGAGAGAAGTATTTCCTTTCAGTTCGCTTATAGTTAAAGTGGAGCAACCCTTTAAATATATTGACTTAGCACAATTCTTCAGTCTTCCAAGAACTTTGAAGTTTAAAAAAAAATAGTCATCATAGCAGTAACCACAAAATGATTGCATTGTACCATCATCAGTGCTTTACAATTCTTTAAAGTACCCTCGGGAGCATTGTTATCCTTTTAGTGGCTTTTTAAAAGCCATTGACTGTACCTTAATTCATGCTTTTGACTCAGAAAAAGTCTAGATTTTCTCTGGTTACATTCGGCACCTTGCCTGTTGCCAAATTCCTTTCCCATAGACACAGTGGAATAAATTATATAAATGCATTACGACATTAAAGCATAATGATATACAGTTTTCCATTTGTAACAGGACATAAGTGAATATTGTTTTTTTAATTCCTCCCTTTCAATTCTGTTGAGACTTGTGCTTTGTAAACTGAGCACCTAACATTAAGCAAGTCTCTTGAAGATGTGTCATGAAAGGTATATTATCAGATACAATTTATTATGTAAACTGGCGTACTCTTTTAACTTTTATACTCACAGGGAAAACTGACATTTACCCAAAACAGTGCAATTAAATAATAATAGTGACTAGCTTTTATCATACTTTGTCTTTCAAAATGTAATTATAAAAAGTTCCTCCATTGGACATATTGGAAATGTAACAGTTACTAGTAACTTCCACTACTGAGTTTTTTTGTTGTAGGTAATCTGTTTGATTTTGGCAGTATTGGCAGAGCCAAGTGTGCCAGTAGGAGGACCATTAACATGCACAACACAGCAGTCAAGGGAGGGAAAAAAAATCAAACAATGGTAATGATGGGTATACATGAAATATCTATTGCAATAATAATATTTTTTGTATACCTTTTGTACCATCCTGTGCTATTGAGTTTTCTACCCTCTATTACTAGTTTTAAACTTGTAAACAGTATTTAATGTTAAAAGAGTCAGGCATTTATCAAAAACTCTTTAACTGTCTAGTGTGCTATTTAAGTGTCAGACTGAAGATTAAATATTCTATAGATGAATGTTAGTATACTTTGTAAATGTGAGATATATGTATAGTATGTACAGTGCCATGAACAATGCAGTTCATATTTACATATTTATTCCATCCAATATAACTAATGCTGCTAACCATACTGCAATTATTTATTTATATTGTATTCTAACAGTAACTTTTCCACTCTCTCTATTTTAAGATTATGAGACCACCTCCAATGATATTGGGGGGACCAGCACAGACAATAGCAATGGAGTCACTTCTACAGACGTCTCTAATGAAGGGAGTGAAGACAGCATTACAGTATGTGTATAATTAGAAATGTTTTATGCAAGGCAGTTTTTATTCTACAAATATAACAAAGTGTCACAGAACAACACATTTCATGGCTTAGCTTGCCCAAACCTGCAGCAGCCTGCCAAACTCCCTTGTCATAGCCAGGGCTGGATTTACTCTCTCTGCTGCCCCAAAGCCAGGTTCCTCAATGCGCCCTCCTACCCACCAAACCCCACATGGAGAATGGTATCACCGGGATCACTTGCACAAAACAAGCGGCAGCTTCCGCGCTGTACATTTAGCTCTGCTTGCCCAAAGCAAGGCTAAATGTAGAAAACAACTACCCGCCCAGCACCCGGAACTGCATGTCCTGCGCATCGTGAGATAGGAATTCCACATCCCTGCTGCCCCTCTACTCCCTGCTGCCCCAAGGCCGGGCCTTGGTTGGCCTTGTGGGAAATCCGGCCCCGGTCATAGCCGAATGTCGCTTCTAACAAAGATTTGTCACTTCTCAACATTGTTGGAGCTTGTCACTAAGCCCCACATACTCCTATTAGCCCATCACTATAATGAGCAGTCTACTGGCCAATTGTAATAAGACTGGAAGAGATGGTCAAGGTTCAGCAATATCAAAACGTGCTAAGAACATGTTTGTTTGTCAGAAGAGCCTGAAATATGGCTGTGGACTGGAAGGTTTTTGGAGGCTGCTGCAGATTTATGGAATGTATAGAGAAGACAGTCTACCTGTGAAGTAGCTCAGTTTTTTATCCATATGTTGCTGTACTGCACCAGCCCATCCCACTTTCTATTGGGTGCCATATAGTGACTCTGATACAAACCTGCTGGTGATTCTGGAAACTTAAGGTTCCTTGCTGTTGCTGATAACAACTTCTGTAAAAAAAAGCCCAATGCTAAGAAAATTCTCACAGTCACCAGTCAGTTTCAATCCTGCCTTTGAAGTTTGTATTTGGTTGGTGGTGCAGGATGCAAAGAGGGAGAAAGAGGAAGTTACACAGCCCCGGTTCCAGGAAGATCAGCTGTACTGTACTCCCACTGCTCCTATTTGGGAGTGTGTGGGCTTAGACTTGTTTTAGGACCACACAATATGTCGGAGTATCTCATTTACATGAGTACCCATATTGTAGATAGAGCATAGCAAGTCTAGAGAATTCATGTTGAACTATATTGTGTGAAAAGCAACTTTCTGTTAGCCAAATATTCTAGATAAGTTTATACCAAGATAAATTATAGTTTTTGTAAATGGCAAGTGTAATTATTTTGTTATTTAAAAATTAAATCAGCTAACCAAGATTAGAATTAATTTGCAGTTGTGAAAATCTACATGTTTTATGAGTTGTATTTATGTTTTCCAGGTTTATGTGGTAGTTGGTATTGCAGCATTGGTATGCACTGGTCTGGTAATAATGCTAGTAATCTTGAAGTTTGGAAGACACTCCAAATTTGGATTAAAAGGTAGGAAGTATTGGCATTTAATACTATTTTCTCTAAATCACAAATTTGATTATAATTTATTTTGATGTCTGCAGTACAGTCAGTATGAAGTTTTTTTTTTTTGGCACTATCAAAATACCAAGGTATATGGCATTTTGCATGGTATGGCTTTTTTGGATAACTCAATCCGTTTTCTCTTTTTGATGGATATAATGTGTTACTCGTTTTTCACTCTTTGTATATTGTACTATATGTATTATACATTGTTATTTTAATTGGGGCAGAGAGAAAAGTTAATAAGGTATAACTGTGTTTCCAAACAGACAGTACAATGGTGAATGCTAGTACTCTTGTCAATCCTTAAATCATTTTCTGTGCTCTTGCGGAGCACCTCAGTGTTGTTGCTTGCAGTGTGGCTGCAAAACCTGCTGAAGCAGCTCAAATGCAGGTCAAATGAAGAAAGAGGTCAACTGCAGGTCAAATGCACCTGTCATTGAATTTTAAATCAGAAGCGTCTCAAAGTGATGTCAAACTGATGCCATCAACACAAGATTTAAGTCTGTGGAGAGGCCCTAAGCCTTGTATTTTGCTCTTGTTTAGAACTAAGCCTCTCCTAGTTCTTAGGAGAGAATGTGTTGACAGCCTCACTACTGACAGCATGATCGTCATAGCAGTCCATCAAACTACTGTGGGGCATAAAAAGTGAGGAATACTTGGTGTTGTATCTGCTTCATTGCACTTTCCTATTGAAGCTTTGTCTTAGATCCTTGATAGCACAGACAAATACCATTTTCACTAGTACAAAACATTCTGGTTTGTCTTGGATCAGTGAATGTTCCGATATTTACACTAAGCCTTCAAGTCTATCTCTTATAAGTTGTGAACCGTGGGGCTTGTAAACAAGTTGTAGTAACACTTCTTTCAGTGCAGTAAAATGTCAGTATGTTGCTTTTTACCTTCTAAATAAATGACTAAATATTAAATATTGTATTGTACTACAAGCTTTACCCCATGTTAGTCAAACTTCAAATCCTTGCTTTAACATTTCTTTCCCCTGACACATCCTCCATCCTGAACTTTGGTGAGCCCCTTCAGCATATAAGATACAATGTCCTAGGTATACATCCCTGAAGCAATGATGCTGTTCCAGGCCTCAGCTGTCAGTGGTCAATTAGACAGAACATTGCATACTGTGGAATGTACACAACTCTCTCCCGAGTGACAGATCCTTATTTCACATCCCACTCTTCCTCACTGCAGCACAGATGTCAAGTGGAGTTTGCCGAGAGGTGCCTCCAGGTGTATTAGAGGTCTCTCTTTTTACTTAGACTGTTGAGATCTGAATTAGCTTGATGACTTCAGGACTTTATTACTCATATACAAAATATTTTACCTACATGTTTGCATATTGTTTTGATAGCATTTCTAACAAATGCTTAACTGCTTTACGTGCTCCATATTTTTTAATGGTTATAGAAAAATGTTCATTTTTACCATTACATTTTACTGGAACCATATTGCTGAAAGGATAGTAATGCTACCGTTTCCACAAAAAGATTACTGCTCTTATATGATGCATTATTATTTATTTTACTAGTGTTATTTATTTATTAATAAATAATCCTATTGTTGTTCCCAGGGTAAAAAAGTTAAAAAGATATTTTTATAGTTACCACAGGACTGTTAATTAGAAAAAAGCCATGCATTATCACAAGCCTAATGTACCCATAGGCATGAGCATCTGATGTTTATAACAACCTTTGGTTCTTAGTAACATATACCAAAAGCAAAATGTAAAAGAAGAAATCAGAATTAGAAACACAACACAAAGTGTAGTGATGAGTGATCATGTATAAAGTATAGTGACTCATTAGCAAACTGTTCGTTTCTACCCCTTAGCTGAATGAAGCCATAAAAGCCAGCTCCCATGGCTTTTGCTGATATTTTTGGCAATATCTGGCACCACTTCAATTATCATGTCCATCTCAGTAAAGCTAGATAAACTAATTTAAGGCAGCAGCATGCTGAAGTGTGAACTTTTATTTGCAGTCAAGGTGGTCCACATGGACTTGTTCACATCCAGATATATTTCTGTAGACAACAATCAAGCAGAAAAACCCTGGCTTCTATGAAGCTCCGTTTCATTATTGCACGAGAGTGCAGTACATATTTAAAGCAGAATTCCAGCCATAAATAATAAGATACAAATGAATAGCCCATTAACAGCTAAACATAGCAAAACCAGCTTTTGCTACAATATATATAACTTTTCTCTGCCACTAGTTGTCCTCAGTTTGATGGTCAGCATCATTTAACCCACTTCCTTTAAGCCTAGGTCATCCTTGACCCGTGCCTACCTTGTAACTGGACAATGAAAGGAGAAGCAGCACAGCAATTAGCTCACTGCCACTCAGTTTTCTCTTCCTATAAGCTTCCTGTCAGCATATTAACCGATTGACTGCTTGTGCTGCTTCTTCCTCTCACACTCCAGCCATGTCAAACAGGGACTGCAAGAGGCTGATACTAGGTTAAATTTAGCCACTTACACTGGTTGAATGTTAAAAAAAAAATGTAATGATGTATTAATAATTACAGAGCTGCATTCACTTGTCATATTATATCTGCCTAGAGTTCAGATTTAAGATACTACTTGCAGTGTTTTTGTGTTCATAACATTTTAAGACATAGAAGGGAACAGGGGCGTCACCAGGCGCACATCATTGTGTAACATGTAAAATCATTATGCACATGCATAATGATGTCACATGCACTTCACTGCCGGTGGCCATCTTGGTGATGGGTGCCGGCAAAGAGAGGAGGGGACGACCATCCTGCGGAAAAGGTATGCCGTTGGGTGCCCTCCTGTCTTGTGCAACTGTCGGGCTCTCAGTCCATGACCAAACGCCTGACTTTTCAGAGGGGGTGACACCAAAATGACTGTCAGTCATTTTGGTGTCACTCCCTCTGATGGTGTCACCTGGTATGAGCCGCACCCCCTTGTGATGCCATTTATTCCGAATGCAATAAAAAGGAATATGGTGTAATTGTTTGTGCATTTAAGCATTTCTACACAGTAAAGCTGTTGTTTTAAAAAAGATCTTCCCCACCAACTACACCAACAATACAATATACCTACCAAATACTTTTACAAATATCTAAGGATCAGGCACTACCTATCTACAGCTCAACTTAGGGATGCTTCATTCCATAGACAATCCATCTCCTTCTTCTCTAAAGCTTCGCCACTAATGAAAGGTATTTCCTTTTTTTATAAGCTATTGGCTACTCCACTGAGTGCTGAAAAACTTCCTGTTATGAAGTGGTGGGAGGAACAGCTGGGGTTCACTCTCTCCCCTATATCCTGGCATCAAAACATAGCATGGACCCTAAAGGCATCAAGATGTCTTACACACTGGGAATCAGCCCTAAAAATATTCCATAAATGGTACTATACCCCGCACAGATTGTCTAAGATGTTTCCATCAACCTCTCCACTATGTTGGAGAAACTGTGGACAGACTGGTACACTGTGTCATATCTGGTGGCAATGCCCCCTGCTGCAACCATTCTGGAATACCTTCTTCCACTTTCTCAGTGCGGTCACTCAAATAAGACGTGAACCCTGTGCACGAATGGCCCTCCTAGGAGTGGGGGTGATTGATTGGCCTACCAACTCACGAATCTTTGTGACACACACCATTATTGCAGCTAGGCTCTCCATTGCCAGACTATGGAAACAACAGACGATCCCCACACCGTAATAGAAATTATAAACCAAAATTCCCACTTTGAATATCTTTTTGCTAGAGCACATCGAAAAGATCCTAAATTCCTCAGGGAATGGGACTGCTGGATGAATGACAACCGATGTACTACCCAACTGCTCCTGAAATATTACCTGTCCCCAAACAGCCTAACTAATGGACAATAATATCTTCTATCCTAATCCTATATTGGCACTTTTGGATTGGAACCCCACACATAAATCTGTAGCATATACCTGAACTAGAATGGCTCATGTTAGACGATGAACGATACACCTACAACATACCTTATCCCATCTCAATGCATCGAAAACCTGTTTTAGGTCTCCTCTCCTTTCCCCCTTCTTCCCACATGTTCGTATGTCATTCCCCATCCATACCTCCTTTCCCATCATACCATTAAGACGCAAACCTACTATTTGACAAAGAAGGTTTAACGACACCATCTCCTGGTTCTGCGCTGAGTAGCACTATCACTAAACATAGGCCATTTACTGTTGTTATCAAATGTATGCAATGTGCAGTTCTACATACATACCACTGTACTGCACCGTTTGTAATACTACCGATTGCTTTGTATACTTAAGCCATTGGCACTATGTGACCTGTAAACCGTACTATTTCTATGCAATCCTGTCTTATCATATGCAAAAAACCTTAATAAAGACGTATTGTTAAAAAAAAAAAGATCTTCCCTACTTTGCATATTGCATGAGAAAAATGTACATTAATATACATTGGCACATTTAATGGTACACCCAGTAAAGAGTGTGCAGCATGGTATACATTTGGCTCTTTGCCCCTATTTTATAAAATAAAGACATCTAATCAAGCAGGCAATAAACGGTAGCTGCAATAAGGTGTTGATGTGTTGGTCATTTGTACTATGTAGTATAATGTACTAATGTAGTCATGTTCAGCCTCTGCACATATGAAGTTCAATGTTTTAGCTATAGTGGTGCCTTTGGATAATAACACTGCATGTGTTTAAATATAGAGCTTGATTTTTTTTTTCTGTGATGCCGTATAAAGTCTATTCCTGGCAATTAAATATATACGTGCAACAGTTACATCTATTAACAACTGAAACCATTTAAACAGTCCAATAAATACAGTTTATGTACTGCTCCCATCTCACTAAAGCTGCCTTGATGGTTAACGTGCTTGATTTTGTTAAGTGTGTGTTTTAGTACAGATAATTCTGCACTAGATCATTCTCAAGCTGTGTGACACATCTAGATATACTGTGTTTGTAAT